ATATATAGAAGTGTCTGTGTGGTGTTTTCTGTATGCGTACTACTACTTGTGTGTCTGCATGCAAGAAACTGCATCTTGTAAATTGGCTGTTTTCTTTTTGTTTATATAGTTTTGTCCAGTTAGTTTTGCATGCATCACGTGCCTTTATTGGAGGGGGAACAGGCGTGCAGCGATGCCTGAAGGCAAGATGCTGCCACTGCTGCTGCTGCTGCAGTTGATGCTGCACTTGCAGCTGCTGCTGCTGCGCGGTGCCCGTACACCTGGCTGAGTTGTCGGTATTTTCGTTAACGGAGGGAGGGCAATTGCCCTTATATAAAACAAACCCCGGCAGAATATCGAGCAGCAGACCGCTGCTCCTGCCACTGCTGCTGTACCTGCTGCTGCTGCTGCTGCTGCTGTTGCTGCTGCTGCTGCCAGCCTGTAGGTTTGCAGATGGGTCACATAAGAGGTAGGTACAACATCCAAGAACGCATGAATGGTGTGCTGCGTTGCTCCAGAAGCAGCAGAACCTGCTGCGGACCTGTTGGGGTGCACGTACACCTCAGAGGGACATAAGAGGGAAGTGCTGCAGCAGATCAGCAAAGAAGGGAGGTATTAGCTGCTGCTGCTGCGCTGTCTTACACATAAGAGCCAAGTCAGCAACAAGAATTTCTTTATCTCCGCTTCTTTCCTTGAATGCCTCAATTAACGCCTCCCCTTGGGGCTGCATGCGCAGTGCAGCAAAAGAAAGAGGGAATCTGTCGTTATGTGCAGCAGCAGCCTCTCCTGTAGCAGAGAAAGTCCATGTCCCTACTGCTTCTGTCTGTGCTGCTGCTGTTGCTGCTGGGGAGGGAGCAGCATCAATAGCATGCAGTTGCTTCTCTGCAGCAGCACGCTGCAGCTCCCATAGTTTCCTCTCTACTGCATACAGCTGCAGCGATTTTGCTGCTACCTTCTGTGCTTGCTGCAGCACAGCACGAACAACAGCAGCAGCAGAAGCAACAGCATGATGCTCTGCCTGCAGCAGCATTATCCTTTGCTGCCTTTCAGCAAGCATTTGCTGCTCTTGCTCCTGTTCTTCCTGCTGCTGCATCGTTTGCTGATTGTCCTCCTGCTGCTGTCCCTGAGTTGTTGGTGGCTGCTGCTGTTCTTGTTCCTGCTGGCCTTGGTGTTGCTGCTGCTGCTGTGCGTTTTGGATTCCTTGGCTGCTGGTGCTGCGCAGCACGGACCGTTCCTGCGGCTGTTGCTGCTGCTGCTGTTCCTGCTGTTGCTGCAGATGCCTCTTTCGTCCCTGCTGCTGCTGCTGCTGTTGTTGTGCCCATTGTTCATCTTCTGCCTTGCTTGCTTCTAGCATAGACATAAGAGACACCAGCTGCTGCTGCAGCTGTTGCTCGGCCTTCACCAGCACGCCTATGAGGGACTCGGAGGCCCTCCGCTTCCATCCCATAGCTTCCGTCATCAGCTGAGACACCTCAGCCAGGGTCTTGTTGTTGCTGCTGCTGCTGCTGTTGCTGCTGCTGCTGCTGCTGCTGGGGCGTGTGTCTGCGCCATCGTGGTTGGCGGTGATTCCACTACTGGTGGTGTTAGTGCTGATATCCTCATTGCTGCTGCTGCTGCTGCTGCTGTTCCCCATGTGCTGCTGCATGGACCCCGGTAGCTCTCCTAGCATCAGCGCCTCCCGAATGGAGCGCCTTTGCTGCTGCTGCTGCTCTTGCTGCTCCTGTTGCGCTGGTTCGTTAGGCTGCTGCCCTTGTTGAGACTCCTGATGCGGCTGCTGCTGCTCGTTGCGTCCCTCTGGTGTATCTTCAGATGACGAAGGGTAATTGAAATCAATTTCTTTCGGTTGCTGTTGCAACTCCTGCTGCTGCTGCGGCTGCTGCTCCTGCTGCACCTGTTGCTGCAGCTCACGATTCGGCTCTCGACGGTCCTCCTGCTGCGGCAGCTCCTGATCATTTTGTGCGGACTGCCGTTGGGTTGTAGAATCCTGATCTTGCTGATGCTGATCCTTCTGCACCTGCTGTTGCCGATGCTGATCCTGCTGCACCTGCTGTTGCTGTGGCTGATGCTGCTGTTGCTGCTGCTGCTGCTGCTGCGTACTGGAGGGAGATTCAGCTTCCCTTGTTTGTGTCGTGACCTGTTCTTCCGCCTGAGTTGCAAAAGACTGTGGGGCATTTGCTGCAGCAGTTGCTGCTGCTGCTGCAGTGTCTTCGGTCACTGCCGTGGTTGGTGGTGTTGCTGCTGTTTCTACAGCTGTTGTTTGCTGTGCACCTGCTGCTGTTGCTGCTGCCCCTGCTGTTTCGTCTGGTATTGCAGCAGCAAGTCTCCTCTGGGATGCTGTCTGCTGCTGCGCAGCACCAGGGGTGGGCTGGCGCGGGAGTGTTATTTCCCGCTGCTGCTGCTGCAGCAGGGATTTGAGCTGTTGTTGCTGTTGATGCTCCTTCATGTGCAGCAGCAGCTGATTATATGCTTGCTGCTGCTGCTGTGTCCCCTTTCTTATAGTAAGATATTCGTTGGTAGCATTGATGACGAGGTTCGTCATGTAGCTGCTGTTGGATCCTAGAGTTGCAGCAGCAGCTGCTGCAGCTGCTGTTGCTGCTGCTTCGGCTGCCTGAGACAGCGTTAGCTTTTCTTTTTGTTGCAGCTGTTTTTGCCTGGTGATCCAGGCATGCTGTAGCTGATGGTGCTGCTGCTGCTGCTGCTGCAGTAGGTACCGCCGCACCGAGGTAGCTAGACTGCTGGGTCCTCCTCCAAGGAGTCCGTCTTCTTCTGCTTGCTGCAGCGACAGCAGCAGCTGCTGCGATGCAGCAGGAGGAGGAGTTGAGGACTGAGACAGGGCCCAACATACAGCACCCATGAATACAAGACTTAGGGCCCCCAGCAGCACGAACCACAGCAGCCGTGGCTTATCCTTCTGTGTCCAGCTGCCAGCGATTTGCGATCTATGGGGGTCCTCCTGCTGCCTCTGGTGCTGCTGCCGTTGCTGCTGCTGCTGCTGCTGTTGCTGCTGTGGGTACTGCTGTTGCTGCTGATGTTGCTGTTGCTGGTGCTGCTGACCCATAGGTACCCTTGGCTGTCCTGTTAAGGGTTTCTTCTGTGCTGCTTCTGCAGCAAGAGCTTCTTTTGCTGCTCTGCTGCTGCTGTTGCTGCTGAAGGCAGCAACACCACCAAAGGAATGTACTCTATCCGAGTCAAACCCTAACGTCAGCAGCGCCTGCTGCAGCAGACTTGATCTTTGCTGCTTTGGGGTGTATGATGAGCCTGAGGATGTATTAGAATTGTTGCGTGCCGGCTGCACACCGGGGGTAACTCCTTCTCGTGCTGCTGCTGCTGCTGCTGCATTCTTGGAGGGGTTACTTGAATGGTGAGGAGTATTAGCTGACTTGGATACTTTTTCTCCCTTTACTTTTGTTGCTGCTGCTGCTGCTGCTGCTGTTGTCGAACCTGGTGTAGATGCTGCTGTGGCTACAGACGAAGGGTACTGAGGGGTCAAGGGTTCCTCCTCATAGATGGAATCCGCTCCTGCGCTCTTTTGCTGACGCAGGGAGGGATTTGGTGCAGCAGCAGCAGCAGAAGAAGAAGAAGAAGAAGAAGAAGAAGGGCACGACATTGTGTGTGCTCGAATGTTCCGCCTTGTTTGTGGGTAACCTGACGAGACTACAGCAGGTGGGGTGAGAGGAAGACAAGAGGAGCGTTTAGGGTTTAGGGTTTAGGGTTTAGGGTGTAGGGTTTAGGGTTAGGGATAAGGGTTAGGGTTTAGGGTTTACAACTCGGGCAGAACAGGAACCGACATGGTGTCCGGTGACCTGAAAGCGGTTTAGGGTTTAGGGTTTAGTGCGCGCCCCCCTCATGCGTTGCTTTTACCTTCAATTAACTAGCAAAACCTTCTCAGAAATAAGGAAAAAGGGTTTCAGCCCATCTGCTAGGGTTTAGGGTTTAGGGTTTGGGGTCTAGTGTCTAGCAGCCCACAGCACCAGAGCAGCAGACAACACCGCCGCCGTAGCCGCCTGACTTCTCTGCCTATTCCTTGCTAAGTCCTAGACGCTAAACCCTAAACCCTAGACACGAAACCCTAAATAGTAGACAATAATGCATGCATTTAATTTTAATAATATGCTCTGGAGTGCCTTTCTTCATCCAAACCCTAAACCCTAAACCCTAAACCCTACACAGAGGAGTGACCCTGCTATATATACCATTGAATACAGAGCCTGCATAACAGAGAAAGGGTTAAACCCTACGTCTGTCTCGTTCCTTTTATTTGTTATTTTTTATTATTAAGGGACTAAATAATATATATTTTATTAATTAATAAAAATATATATATAATATAAATAAAATATACAACATTAGTCGTCTCCTCTTGAATATTCAAGTTCTCTACCTTCTTCACCCGCAAACCCTAAACCCTAAACCCTAAACCCTAGAACCCCCACATGGATAGGCAAAACACCCTAAACCATAAACCCTGCACCACCAACTCTAAACCCTAGATTGTATGCATGCACACATGCATGCATGCGCTACGCCGTTAACAGTCACGAAGCGACAGCTATAAACCCTAGACTGAAAAATGTAAACCCTAAACCCTAAACCCTCGGCCACAGGCCTTCACCATTGCTGCTGCGTCAGGGTGCATGTTGAGGTGTACGTGCACATGCAGCGTGCTACGAGGCCTCTTGTGTGCTTCTCTTTTAGGGTTTAGGGTTTAGGGTTTAGGGTGTGCTGCTACTTCTCTCTAGACCCTAAAAAAGAAATATATGCTGCGTATTATATTTAACTAATAAAGGAGCAACAAACAACTTTATGTCCCTCCTCCTCCTTATTAAAAGAATAATAGATTAAATTATTCCCTTAAATAAACAAAAAACAAAAAGAAAAAAACAACAAAAATATTCTCTTTGTTTACCAACATATATCTAACAACTAAAAACCCTATAAAGAATCGAAACCCTAAACCCTAAAAACCCTAAAAAGGACAGAAACCCTAAACCCTAAATCGTGGGAAGCTTAGGTGTTCTTTAGGCCCCCTTTGGATACAGTTGTTGCAGCAAAGTGGTTACAATAAGAACCGTAAACCGTAAACCCTAAACCCTAAACCCTAAAAACCCTAAACCCTAAACCCTAAAAGAGGAAAGTTGGGGGAGACGAAAACACTAAAAGTGTTTAACAACAAAAGAAATAAATCTTTTTTGTCCATCATTTGTTGATGGCTATTTAAACAAAGAATATATATATATATATATATATATA